GGGGGGGGCAGCAGCAGTTTCCCTCAAGTCCATCAAGTTATTTTGCACTTGCGATTTTGGAATTTTTTGTTTTTATGTTTGATGTTCCTTCCTTCAGAACGTTTTTTCTTTTTTTGTGTGTGGCTAAAACCCTCCCATGCATGTCGTAAGTTTACCTCTATAGATCTATATGGTCACTTTTAAGGACAAGCGGGCTAACACGGATTTCAGGGGGTTTCCAGAAATCTTGACCTACTCCAAAAGTGGACAATGCCCTACCTAGGAGAAGTTTGGTTTCATTTGTGTATTTGTTTGGTTATTATAGAGAAAACTCTCCTAAAAGAAACTGAATAAGGGACAAAATCTTTACCTTCAATTTTTTTCAGAACTTCATTTTTCGGGACAGCCCCCTTGTGCTTAAAAGCGACCATATGAAGGCTATCTTGCACCTCAAAATTGTGCATATATTTGTAAAAATGATTTAAGATGGAGGAATATAGGTCCAACTTTTGTTTGAAATACGATGGTTATTTTGAAGACTAGAAAGGCGAATGCATTGATGTTTAGTCTGCTCTTCTTAATATTATGTAGGCCTAATAGACATTTGCTTTCTCTTTAATTTGACGCATATACATGTAATTATAATGTGTAACTATCAATGATAGGCGATTTTTTTTGGTGCAAATTGATTGTCATATTCGCCAGGTTTTTTGTATCATGTATGGGTATTTTGAAGACCCTGGAGATACACTTCTTTAACATTTGTTCTGATTAATTCTAATTTCATGCAAAAGAACTTTTCTTTATCTTTAATTTGATGCATACAATGTACATCTACCACATATGGTCAGATTAAGGTTAACATCCCCCCCCCCCTATTTAGGCCACATATGGCCAGAATAAGGTTTATCCCCCCATGGAACCTTATTTAGGCCACATATGCTCAAACTACCCTTTTCACGAAACTGAGTTCGTTCTGCTTTCGAAATGGTGCACCTTTCTCAAATAGCACAGTTTTGTCTGAAGTGTATATATAACTTCTCAATCATAACAAAATGCACAAGAGACACGGGCCTTTCATATGAAACAGATAAATTTGACATATATAGCTACTTTGAAAATTTAGTTTCTGGTAGCTAGATCTAGTAGGGCCTACAATGTTAACCCGTTGTTGCATTTGACGTGAAGACCATTCTAGTTAAATTTTGTTTTGTCCATAAGCTTTTTTTTCTGAATGTTAAGTTGTAGTGGCCTAGCCACGATAACTGACATATTTCAAATCTCTATCTCTATTCTAAGACCCCCGTTGCTATGGAAACATGTTGATCAATTTTGGAGCCCGTTTTCTCCTATAATTATTGTTTCTGCACCTTGTATACTTAAAAGTTCCATATTTTCGTCAAATATTGTCTTATTGATTTCTTTTTTTTTCCCAGTTGTAGTGAAATGGTGCTAGTTTTGGGAAATTATGTTAACAACATTTTGAAATTTCCTTTATATGACTGGTTTTGACCAGGAGGATTACATATAAATTATGAAACTTCAAGAAGTATTATTCATTCCAGCATCTTTTGGCGCCTAAGCTGTATAGGTTGAAGTTTTCACAACGCTAACAGGGCTTTTTGTAAAAATGCATACAAAAGCCAAATTGACCGGTCAGCGACCGAGCGCCCCCACTCTCCCCCTGCACACTGCGATTTTTACGTGTCAATTTGCCATTGCATTATTCAGCTATTAACACTAGCGGGATGTACTGACTGACAAAAGAATTCACAGTTTTGTTTTTATTTTGCCATAGATATTTGGTTTTTGAATAGTGCAGATGATAGTTAAATCTACATTCCCTCTAGAATCAGTAGTAGTAGGCTAGAATTCAAAGAGCCTAGATCTAACGTAATAGGTAATGCTGCTCCTGAGTATACAGTTGTTTTGGATCCTCTTTTAATCAAGCCTGCCTCCTCCCATTTAACTTCTGATAGACCTAACATATTTAGCTTCATCCTGTCCATTTCCTGCTCTATATGATCTAATTTGCCTTTCTGGTACATTGTTCTCACATTCCATGTGGCTATGTTAAGTTGCTTATTTTTGCAGCTAGTAGCTGTATGACGATCGTGCGCCACCTGCTGCCCGTGGCGGTCCCTACCGAGCAGGGAGTTCAGAGCTGGATCATGAACCCCTTTACACTGTTATCTGATGAATGAATATACTTTTCCATGACTATTCTTGAGATATTACAACAGTAGTTTTCCATTGCCTACTGCCGGTTTGTGTACAGTTTTCTCTGCTAGCCTTTGTCATCCACTGACAACCCACAAGGCAGCGAGGGCTTTGGTAGGATTTATGGTGCCTCCCGTCGCCAAGATGGTCCCTTCTTCGAGTATAGACCATATGTGGCCTAAATAAGGTCACCCTATGAAAATTCAGAGCAGTATACCTAGAGTTATAGTTTTATGCTGTATTTTTCCTTGCATACATTAAATTTCAACACAAGTTCACAATAATGATTTAAACATAACTGATTTATCAAGAAAAATATCTTCAAGAAATGTTTCATTTCATTAAATTGTTTAATAGTCTGTTTTACTTCCTCGCTGAGCAAAGCTTACAATTGACAGGTATTCAATACGTTCTGAATGTCCTTTCCTCCTAGCGTCATTTTTTAAAGGACGCAGTTTGATTTACAATTTCGAGTGTCAAAAAAATAAAACACATTGTTGCTAATTTTGAAGTGGTGTTTCTATTTTAATGTAAAAATAAGAAAACAAATGGAATGTCAGCAAAAAATGGGATAACAGGGGTGGGGGGAAGCAGTATAGATAATGAGGTTTGGCTGTTTTTATATGTACCTTTAAAAAAAGGGAATGTACACTATAAGGAAACAAATAATTGTCTAATAATCAGCATTAGAGTAGGAATTTTAACACCTCAAATGTTTGTACATGATAAGTCATAAAAATGTCAGTGCAAATATAATGTGTGCGTGCTTGGAAAAAAGTCCCAGTTGTAGGAAATTTTGGATTTCGAAATATATAAGGGTATACTCTTTGGTAGCAAATTCAATGCTAAAAATAACATGCAGATTTTCAAACTTTTCAAATATCTTGAGTAGTTTTAAAGATGCCACCAATTGTAACACTGGGTAGTGTAAATACAACGTTTGGAGAAAAACGGCTTCAACTTTAGTATGCTTAATTTATCCAGTTTTCTAGTATATTTTTAACCTTTGGTGAAATACATGTTGCATAAATAATTTTTAAAATTATCAAATCATAAAATATTATAAATATTATAAAATCCTTTCAATTTGCAATTAAGAAATGGTTAAATGTGTGTTTTCAGATGGAACAAAATTTTTGACCAGGTGAGATTTTTGGAGCTTTTCAACTAACTGCTCATGAACAACTTTGCCGACAACTGGGACTTTTCTCCAGGCATACACACACCCACATATATATATATAAAAGGTGAGATTTTGAAAGAATGAAACATCACACAAAAAGCAACCAAAAAAGGCAATAATATTAATACTGTCACAATACTGAACTTAGAGTATTAACAGAAAGAAAAACAACTTATACTATTAGTTATACAAGGAGCCCTGAGGTTTTGAAAAAGAAGTTAAACCTCTCGAGATTTCGTCACATTAAATAAAGGAGGTACCGGTGTTGAAACAATGAAAGAAAAATCTAAAATGAAAGACTCAAGACACAGAGGGAGAGATAACATTGCAGTGTGACTGATTTTGGACTATTTCTTTGAAAAGACATGGACATTGGCAAACTTAAAATATTTTTTTAGGTAAGTGTTTTACGGTGCTCGCAACTGCAGAAGGTTATATAAGCGAGCGGGACACACTAAACTTTTCAGTTGGTAGGAAATTTTGAATTTTACTCGGGTGATGGCCGAAGCCTAGGCTTACTCTTATTTTTAGACCACTAAGGGATCTTTAACATGCATAACTTACACACGAGTCCTCTGAGATTTTTCGCCCTTGTCCGAGAAGGGTTGGTGTAGATCTTTCCTACCAGAAGATCAGGGGTGTGGCTGAAAGACAGCAGTAAGAAGGAGCCAAAGAGTAGCAGTGGCTGTATAAAGAGTCAGGCGCCAGAGGAGGGGGCAAAGGAGGTGAGGGGGTAGGGGGCAGAAAGTGGAGATGAAAGCAGATGACAGACTATTGCTAGAGAGCAGGAAAGGAGGTGAAAGGAGACAATTTTAGAGAACAAAATTTTTCGGTCACTACCCAGATTCGAACCCAGGACCTTTGAAAGAGAGGTGAAAACCTTATCCTCTAAGGCCACGAGAGCCCCCTTGGCAAACTTTAAACATATACCAGTATATAGAACAAAAAAATACCGGTATGAAAGAATTAAAGAGCTAGCGTCAACTCAAAAATCATACTAATTCATACTGTTGTTGTTTTTGTCAATCTTATTTCTTTTTGGTAGGAATTACAAATGTTTTTAAAAGAAATAGTGTGGCATTGTGGAGAAATCAGGTGCTCGTCAAAATATAATGAAATCAAAGAAACTGACATTTTGCCACCCGGTTGGCAAATAATTCGATTAAATTTTTAAATTTTTTTTTGAGGGGGGGCTACCTTTTACATCCATTAAAAACAAATTTCTGAGTGGAGTTTACTGCTTACTGCAAAACTTTGATAAATGGCCCCCAAAAATGTGCAAGTTTTCAAGGACACTCATGTTTTGGGAGTGACCAAACTTTAGTCATTTTCTTGCTAATTTACCTCTGACACTAGGTGACCCAAACCTCTTTCAATCACAAATATCACGACTTCTACTTCTATTCAAGGTATAGTGGTAATTTTTTTCATCAAATAGCAAGACAAATAAACAGGCTTCAAGATGGTTCCAACAACTCCATATACGTCGACAAATTGGTGAGCACCTGATAACAGTGTCGTAACACAATTGATGGAGAGGAGAGAAAAGGTCAGCTGCAGGCGATGTCAGTTGTTCCTGCCGAGAAGGACTAGTTTTGGTACGGGACAGTAGATTCTTCATTACATGACTGTTATAGATCGTGTCAGGCGCCCTGGCTGCTGGATGAAGACTCTGTCTTGGGGACTTACATCCTTTGCTCGGATTCTCTCCCTGGAAAAGAAAGTAGAGTTGCTCATGAAATGAAGTTAATATGAAAGTAAACGTTCATTAGTTAGGTATGTGCTTTGAAGTAAAGCCTTCATACTGCTTCATTTTCATTACTTTATTTTTTGAGTGTTCTCCAGGAATTTTGAGATCCTTTGATGAGCATAATGTGCTCTTTCATTGTATTATAATATCTTTATTACATTTTAGATACTGCAGTTAAAAGATGAAATGGTGGAAATTTGAGACAATCGTGAATACATAACAGTTTTATCTAATCCATTTCAACAAAATCCAAAATCTTATTAAAAAATCTTAAATTTAATAACCAGAAATGTTTTTGTTGAGATCACTATGATCACCTCCAGGGCATTGTTGAGTAAGTTATGTGTGCACCTGGAGAAAGGGAGAAAAAGTCGGCCCATATATATATCGTTTCGAGCTACAGACATATAAAGTAATTTTTTAAACCACAACATGTTTCCATTAAAAAACCACAATAAATATGCCGTTCCACCATTTCAGAACCAAATTTTAGAGGAATTCTATTGACTTTACATTTGACTTTTATTTATTAAGATTTATTGTACATATGTAATAGTGGGGTTTTCTAAAAAAAAAAGGAAAGTGGCTGATGTAAAATTGATGTTTGTATCTGTCTCCTATTCCCCTTGTCCTGCACTTCAAGTGGAGTCGAACCGTTTTTGAAGGTCACTTTGGAATTAGCCGGAACTGTGTCACAATAGCAGCTTTTGCCTCGGCATGGAGGAAGATCTTGCTAGGCCCGACTCAATGTGAATAATTTCAACAGAATTTGATCAGCAGTGTGCACTGGGTATGGTGGAACTAATAACCTGAATTTGATGACAGGGTATAATAGGACAAAGAATAATTAATTCATATTCTCGGTCTAGGGTTGAACCCATTATAATTAAGCATAGAATCTAGCGTTATGGTTGAACCTCACCTCATATCATATCAAAATATTCCATAGGACTTTCTCGATATCTTACTCCTACACTATCCTATACAGTGGGCTCCATGTAAAACATGGACCACTGGGACTGACGTGATATCTCTGTTATAGTAGGTACATAATACTGGGTGAAAATGTCGCTTTGTGGAAGATCGCGGCAAAAAAGAGAAAAATTATCTTCTTTGCATCTCGCTTCCCATTCCAGTAAAGTAAAAAAAAATTCAAATGTTTACAAATTTATGTCCTTAATCTTTCATGTGAAAACATTCGTTGAGCGAACAAATATAAAATAAGTAAGTATGAGTTACTGGGGTTCACGTTGGGCACCGAATTGGCTTTTCAGCGTTTTTCCGCCGTAAAATATCGTGGAATCTCTACGACGCATGTGTTTTCGAAACATCGGTGCTCCGGTCGTAATGGATTATAAATATAATGTAATTAAGTCCGTTAAAAAGTGCTTAAATTTATGTTGCTTTCAATATATTTTTAGTGGGCTAATTTTAACACAAAGTGCATAAAAATCGTAATCAAAAACTTTGAAAGGCTTTTTTAAACGGATTCTATTGAAATATTCTAATAAAAAAAATAAATATCTGAAATCATAATCCATTTTTCTATATTTTTTAATATACGAAGCAGCGTGGTCGAATCAGGCGCTCGTCAAAATAACGAAATCGGAGAAACAGTAACAGGCATCTTTAAGCCAGCTTGGAATTTTTTATTGAATTTTATTTTTTATCTTAATCTCTTTTATGTCCATAAAAAACACATTTCCAGGTGAATTTTACTGAAAAACATTGATTAAAGGCACAAAATGTGTCATTTTTCAGTTTTCAAAGAATCTTTAGCTATTAGAGTTCCAAACTTTGGCTAATTTCACCACGGAAACCAGGTGACCTCACTTACTTCAATCGCAAATATCTTGAGTTCTATTTAAGATAAATGGATATTTATTTCATTGGAAGCAAGACAAATAAATCAGCTTTCAGATGATACCAATAACTCCACATGCCCAAAAATTGACGAGTGCCTCACTCCACTGCATCGTGACACATATGTAATCAGTATTAGGACCAATTTGCATCAATGAAAGCACAGACGCTTGGAAACTTTCACTAACCCAGCAAAAGTGAGATGATATTCGTCAGGTGAGCATCATGCCAGTGCGCTGCCCATGAGCACATGTTAGCCTAGCTTAAATAAACATTCTGCCACTTTCTTGAATATATTTATATTGTTTTAACAACGGATCACAAGAATTTCATTGGTGAGTATTGATATTTTTTTATATTTGAAGAGAAATAAATATTTGTAAACAATAGCATAGGTTTCATATATGTCATGTTAATTTACAAGAATAATGTGTTATATAGAAGCAAGATGAATGAACTGAGACTCACTGAAGGAATTTGGCCATCTGTAGATTAGGTTTCCCAGTTTTTGATCTGAAGACACTGGTGTGACCATTGATGTCCTGTGCCTCCTCTAGCTTCTGGATGTCATAACGACCAGCACCAACTGGATTCTGAAGAGATAAGAGTTAGTTTAGGTCATTCAGTACTAGAGAAGCTCCAGCTAAAAAGCCTCATTTTTTTCTGTCAAAAATCAAAAGGTAAACATTATTTTTTCCAAGAAAATAGTACTTATACTACTCACACAGTGCTAAAATACAATGAGGGTATTCACTTTCATAAAGTATCAAATCACTTTATCCTTTCAATTCAATAAATTTTGTCACCTTCTGGTCTGTACCTCGTCTTGGTACTTTCTCTCCCCTTCCTTCAAATACACGTTCTCTTGGCGCGCTTGCTAACAAAGATTTTCAGAGGATAGGGTTATTCAAACGAAACCCCGTCGACCAGGAGAAATGGAAATGACTGAATTTTTTTTACAATTAAAGAGGGGAGGTCACCCTCTTTATTTAAAAAATGATAAGGCCACAAAAGAAACTGAAAGAAAAAGAAGTAAAAAATGGAATCATCAGAAATTGCAATTTTTTTTAAAAAGGAAGCAATTTTCGCATAGACTCAACTAAAAGGCCAATCTTTTCCCTACAAATTCATGGGTAAATAGAAACATTCCGTTGTGAAGCCCCCCCCCACCCCCCCCTCCTTTTCTGTGTGTTTTGCACCCTAGCTGGAAAAGTGCACAGGGGCGGGATGAGGTGTCCATTTTGTGTCAAGTTCAAGCCAATTTTTTCCCAAACAATGTTGACAAAACAAATGAAACCATTATTATTTGTGTTCTGTGGTCTTTCCTATTTTAAAATATGCATTTCTTTTGCTACACTGGTGGCAATGAATAAATAACCCTTTGGGAAAATGACAACAGAGTCCATGGATTGATCGTCACGCTCAGCGACTGTCGAAATGATTTGTGATTGCTGGGAGTGAAGGGGTGCGGGGGTTATTCATATAAACCACTTGGCCAAGAGAAACGGAAACAATCGTATTAATTGACCGGGAAAGTAGATTTATCATATCTTTCTTTTGATAGTAAACGAAAAATAAGCTCTGTCAACAACCAACAAACATATAAAATTAATGTGGTTTCTTAGGAGACTACTGACAATATTTCGGGAAGGAAAAGAAATTAAATGAGGTAGTGCTTGATGAAGCCCACGTAGGACGCTCACAGTTAAAAACAATAAAAAACCCCGACAAATGCAGTTTTTGGGACACCTGAATATATCTTGAATATCTAGCTCTCACTAGCAAAATTGAAGGCAAACGAGGCAGGGTAGGCCCAGAGCAACCAACTTAGGGAACCTAAACAAATGGGTAGCGGGGAAAGATCAGGGAAACGTAGCTTTTTTATGAGCATTCGAGCAAAGGAGTGAGAGGAGAACAATGATTGCCGATGTCTGCCGAAGATCTGGCACTGAACGAGATAATCTGACACAAAGTAACAATCCGTTTCTGAATTTGTGATTATCATTCAATAATAATAATGTTGCATATATAGCCTACTTATTTTTATCAAGATGATCTAAGGAAGTGTTGATCTAAATCAGTGTGACAAAAATTATAAAAGCAAAGATGAACTTTTTTCTTTTCTAAGCTTTAGAGTATTCGTACGTTAAATCCAACAACGTTTTTGCGTCCAGCGTGCTAAATTACATTAAGATATCAAACATTAGTCTCATGTCTGTAATAATTATCACTATATGAAAGTTCACCAAACATGTGCTTTTGTGTGTTTCACAATGGCATACTTCAAACATTCTTAGTCCTATGCCGGCAAAAAAAAATTAAGCTTATACCCTGCATTGTTATCAACAACATCACGAAGTTTTGACTTCACAAGCAAGCAAAAGTTGTTAACTGAAAAGCCATTTTCATACAATTTCATGGGTTTACAGAATCAGAATTATAAGCCCGAGGATTTCTATAGTCTTTGTATGCCTCAATATTGTCCTTGACTTCAAGAAGACATAATAAATGGGTATGTGCATTGTCATTTCATGATTATGTGACTGTTCACGCAGTCTTGCTTTTTGCTTGTTTTGCGTGCAGTGTGAATTCTCTACGTTTTAACTCACTTGCGACTGGGCCCTTTCACCAGTCACAAGCGTTGAAGACTGGCGTTTTTGGGGGTATTTCAATAAATCACCACAACTCTCAGAATGACCCTATTGTAATCATTTTTTGACACAGTAAAGTAACATTCAAGCTTAAACTAATACAAAAAACTAAAGTTGTGTAAGTCTAATACTTTAATTTGTATGATTTTTAAAAAATTGGCATGAATTTTATTTTCCGAAAAATTTCCAGAGACGTGACAAGTAGAATGAAATTCACTGCAACAACAAAAATAAAAGTTCAAAGTGTTCTGGTTTGATTTGTATACATGTGCGAGTGTTTGGTGAAAATATAAAAGCTGGTCTGTGCATTGATTCAGACCCATATACTGAATTACATGTGACAGATGTACGGCACGATGTTGTGCTTTCGTTGCGCGAAAAACAACACCGGTACTAGTGCTAGATCTATCCCTAGAACTACGACTCGGGCCGTGTTCGGGTACATATCCAGGATCCTAACAATTAGATACATCATATTCTGAGACACTAGAACTAGTAAAACGCACAGAAGTATAGAAAACGGCGAAATTATGTGATTCTTGTTCATGCGACTTCTTCGACCGTTACTACGACGCGACTGTCGGATTACTATCAGCTGTATAGAAAAAAACAAAGCGCGAGTTCCGGTCTGTCCAACCCCAGTTGGGGTCACTGTCCTTCACTTTCAATAACTTAAAAACTACCGGCCCTAGAGATACGAAACGAAGTTTAAGTAGCTCAGGCTTGGCCAAACAAGGGTACGAGGCGGGTCTCGCGATCCGCGCGTGATTTGTAGAGCGAAAAAAAAATTCCAAAGTTGGTCACGCAGGGCTTGTGAGATCCGTCGCGAGCGTCGCGGCGGGGGTCACGCAACTGTTGTGTGACCCGTCTGAAGTGAGTTAAAGTAATTTGAACCTTGATAACTTTTTTATTTATAGTCCAATTTTAATGATTTAAATGGTGAATTTCATTATTTCTGCGGCTCTTTTTGGTGCAATTTATAAAGAAAATCTACTTTCCGACAATTAATTTTTTTCCTTTGTGGTAGGCCTACCTAATTACAGTGGAATCTACTTAAACCCAACACAGTTAAGCTGAAAACAGTGGTAAACCAAACAAAATTGAATGCCTGATCTTTTGCTCCTATGTTTTTGAAAGAAAACTATTCATTAGCCAAAATGCTGCTATTTTTTTAAACTTTAACTGAAAAGAGTTTCATAGGTCATTCATCTGTTGTCTAGAGCTACACTAGCAACTCTCAAGAAGCACATCAAGTCTTAAATGCTTCGAGAAAGCAAAGCGGAAGAAAGAGACATGAGTACACACTTGTGTTGACCGAGGGCTAGAGAGAGGTATTGCCAGTGTTTGTCTACATTTATCACTCATATCAATTGGCCTACACACTCAAAAATAAGTGACACTAGTATGGCGAATGTACACCTGTCAGATGACCTTCAGTTGGTCATGGCCTTTTGTCTCTGTAAAGCTAGTACACATAGGCCCTACAATATGAGCACATGATATGTTTCATGGTGTTACTGGCATTGGGGTTTCTCACTGCTCTAGCCTAGCAAGCATAATACAGTGTGCAGTACCCTCTGCTTTTTTGTCAGTTCAGTAAATTAAGCAAGCTGATAATGTTGGAGAAAAAGCACAGCCTGCAGCTTAAATTGCAGTTACTGAAAGTAAGGCCATGATAAAGAGAAAACAATTTTGAAAAAGAGATATTGCCACAATAAGCATGGCAGTCTCAACTATAAGCTGTAGACAACCATTGTAATGTGAGTTACCTCTCTACTCTAAACAGAAAACATGGCTACACTGAAAAAAAATTCGGTTTCAGTGGACTCCACTGTATACTTTTCCCCTCTTTCCTGAATTATGGAAACAAGTATCTAGAACTATTCTAGAATCAAGCAAACAAGATATATGTAAAGGATTGTGGTGAAACCAGGCGCTCGTCAAAATACAGAAATTGATTAAATTGGCATTTTTCTGCCTGTTTGGCAATTTCAAATTAAATTTTTGCAATTTGGCTTCACATTTTTTAGGTCCACTTAACATATTTATGTGTTAGTTTCACTGAATAAACGTTTAAATGCAAAACAAAATATAAGAACATTTGCAGTTTCGGAAGGACTCTTGAGCTTTGGAAATGACCAATCTTTGGCGGCCATTTTCTCGCCAATTTTATCTCTGAACCCAGGCAACCTCCAACTCCTCGAATCCCAACTATCTCGATGTCTATTCAAGACAGATGGGCATTTTTTTCATCAAAAGCAAGGCAAATAAACAAGCTTTCAGATGGCACCAATGGCTCCATAAACCCAAAATTTTACGAGCACCTGATTCCACCATGTCGTGACACATATATTTTAACAGTTGAGTCTACTCGAAAGATGATGGTTATGAAACTTTGATTAAGTCAATAGCTGTTGAATACAAAAGAAAAAAATGCAAACAGAGCATACAAAGTTCCTTGTAAAGAATTTCTGAGAGATTTTGTCATCCCGCTTCGCTGAGGACAGGAAGCCAGGACTGTTCACATGTCGTGGTTTGCTCATTTCCTGCAAGGAGTACGTTCCTGGTCCAGGAGAGTCCTGCAGAGGACAGAAACAGAGTGATGAAAGATCAGACAATAAACACATAAAGATTATACACAGGAGTCGAGTCTGGACAAGTATCAAAATCTCGAACATCAATTTACTGTGATACTGTACTAAAGAACTAAACACAATTAAAATTGCATTGATTTAATCCCTCCTTTATTATTAAATGGCTTGATTTGAACAGTTAAAACTTCCAGGTTCATGACATAATAAAGCTACACTGTGGAACTTGGATTCAATTGACTCGGATTCAACAAAAGGAGATGGATTCCCTATTTTTTTTATTCATTAAAATAAATAAAAATAACTTGGATTCAACGAACACACATAAATGAGCAAGCTCGGATTCAATGATGTTGCTTGGGTGAACAGTCCCCGCTGATGTGGCTTCACTCATTTTCCTTCTGAAACGAACCTTACTTATTCCAGGTAACCATCCATGGCACTTGCATCATGACTATTATTCACTTAGTCTATGTGACAAATCAGCAGCCTAGCTTCTTTAATACCAACACATGCATTGTTGGCACACTTGTCCTAGCATGTGTCGGTGTTGGGCAGGCGGCCAACACACATATATGACAGTACCTGTGTCTTGGGGGAGGGGGCACAAGTGGTCCAGGCTCGGAATGTCAGTAGAGATACAAATATGTCAGCCATTTCTTCTTCTGGCTACTGATCAAGTATCACAATGATTAAGCTACTTTTGACATAGATCTACATTATGAATTGTGCATTGGTCTGTTGAATCAAATTTTGCCATATGCTATGCTAGGCTCTAACGATCAGTGTATTTTCCAGGATTTTTCCAGCATTTCTTTGGTACGACGTCAAAGAAACAAAAATGCCTCTCATTTGAAACCAAACTACTTTGGATTGAGAAAATCGAGGGGCAAAAAAAGCAGGCATTTCCCGGTAGCCTACCACGAGTTACTTCCCTTTATATATTACTTGCTCAGTGCTTCTAATTGTCTGCACAAAAACCTCCTGTTTGCTATAAACGAACACTCAGATTCATCGAAATTGAAGTTCAGGCCTGACGACTTTGTTGCATTCAGGTTCCACTGTATTTTTCAAGTAAATTCAAACAAATCGATTTCAATACTTATAGTTCAACAAAAAAATAGAGGTTTGAAACTGCAAATGTAATTTAAGCAAGTGTCAGTTTAAATTTGAAGTAGAACATCAAACCAGGGGATAAGAATCTTAAATGTAACACGGTTACGGTGGGTCCCACTGTTTTTGTACCAACATGCAATACTTTAACTAATTCGCTACCCCAAGCCGTGGGCAGCGGCCTGGCGCTGCCAAAGTGACTTTACTACAGCAAACCGCCCTCGACAGCTCGAGAAGTGACCTATAATTTTAGCTTAGACTTTATTCTAACCCATATATATATCCATTACATGTTAAAATAAAGGTTATAATATAACGTTGACTACCGGGTCAAGCGTTTCCACCAACAATCGTAAATTTTGATTCAGTTTTCGAAGTTTATGTGACTTTGTTTTATCGCGATGCCAAAATTATAGCCCAGACACCAGTCTTAGTACTTTCACACAAAAAAATGTATCATTATTTTGATTACTAAAGAAAAGTAGGACTCTTCTTTAGAATATTGATACTATATTTGTAAAATGGACTCAAATTGGCACTGCTCTGTTATTGAGAAATCAATATTTTTCAAAGCTAAATCTTTATTGTCAAAACATTTTTTCTCCCCAATATCACTATTTTTGTGTGTGAAAATAACAGAATGTACCACTTAAGACATGTGTAGGTTTATTCTAAATGCAATTCTGAATAATTCCAAATAAGATATATGTGTGGTTTTTTCTGTTTGTGAATGCATCTTGTCCTTTTTTCAAGTTCATAAAAATATTTTTTTTCAATATCGGATGTTATGATCCAAAAGTACAAATTATGTGGAATGTTAAATAACTGCAAATTTTAAAATATTTTTCAGTTTTATGTTCATTTATGGTTATTTTGATGTAGGACTATCATTTGACTAGGTGCAAACATATTTTTTGAGTTTCACCAAAGATGATTAATTTTTTTTTTTTCAATTTTATCTGCATCCAAGCAAAATTGTGTTGCATCGCCTCTTACAGGAACCAAAGTTGAAAAATACTCAAATAAACATTACAGATGTAGGCATATTCTACAAATCATACTGAAAATTGGAGTGTATAATATGTTGATATTTATTTGAATTTGTGCCTCAAAGACCTTTGAACTGCGCACTAGTCATCATCTCATTTCACCCTCCCGAGAAAAAATCATCCACAAGCCCAAGATAATACGTAGCGAATAAGTTAAAGAACAACTCTATGCGGCTCTTTACTGACCTTCATCTTGGGATAATGTGCTTGAGAAAACAAGAAAAGTCTTTCAGTGGGGACATCGGGATACTGTGACATCTTGCCAAATTTGCCATGTATATTTTTGTGTGGGCCCTTGAGCTCATCAACAAATGTTCCGATCTCGTACTGGCCAGGGCCAAGATCAGCAAGTTTCTAGAACAAAGACAAATGTAACTTGGGGAAATCATGCCTTCAAAACACTTTTTTACAGGAGCCCACTCACTTATGGATGGGAGTGAAGTAAGGGGGGGGGGGGAGGAATGTATCATCTATACAATACAATACAATAACGTTCTAGTAAAGAACTGTTAAGGCTAGAACATTAGCAATCTGGATCAACCATTGAGTGGTTTTTGATTGGTTCTGATTTCTCTTCCATTCAGTTGAACAAAGAGTCTATCTTTCTGAAACAAAAGCACATTCAAGCATAAATAGCCACTTTGCCTTTAACCGGGCTCTACAATTGCTAAAAGGTTTTATTTCAGTAAAGAATGAATGAATGAGAAAACCCTCTGGAATTAACTGTACTTCATCCCTTAAAACTTTCCTAATGCCCTGGTCCACGTAAAAACTCGTTGTTTTCCTTCTAGTCACCAGATTCTTACACAAAAGCTACTGTAATTTTAATTGCAGTAGCAGTAGTTGCAGTTGTTGCAGCAGAGGTAGTTATAGAAGTTGTAGTTTAACTCTTTAAACCCTGGGTTTTTCCACTGTTTCCCTGAGTTTTTTCTACAATCACCTAAATCTTGTGCACTATGTCTCATTATAATCTCAAAAGCTTGCCTCCAACAAACTTCTAAATGGTGGAAACAAAGGCTTAGTCATTACTAATAGACTTGGTTTGGGAATAGTTCCGAAAAACAAGCAAAATATAGCACTAAATAAAACGAGACAGTTGTCACTAGTATTGGACGCTCCCAGCTATGGCTTTTAAAACGCTTGTGTCTGGGGTGATTGAAAGGAGGGAGGGGGGCGTAGGCACAAGTGTTCCGGGCATGGAAAGTCGGCACAGATACAGACATGTATACAATCATATTCATCCCTTCCCCACATCTACTGAACAATGAAATGCTAGTCTAGACATCTAGATCTAGTAAAGAATTGCGTGCAGGTCTGTGGAAACAAAGGTCGTCATATGCTAGACCCTTGTCGCAACTTGTCGCTCACATTGCTATCATAATGAAGACTCGGATTCAATGAAATTGAAGGTCAGACCCAACGACTTCGTCATATCTGAGTTTCACTGTACAGTCAAACCTGTGTAAGACGGAACTGCAAGGGAGCGGGAAAATTTTTTTGTCTTAGACATTTTCCGTCTTAGACAGGGGAATTTAGGGGAGGGGGAGGGGGGTTCAAAGGCCCTGCCGGTGGGATCAAGGATCGCTTGTCCGATCGGCAAGCAGTGGTCAAAACTTCACACCTTTCAGCTGCTATCCTGTCTGATAGTGACATGCGTCAGTCTTACGTATCCAATTACCACCAGTGCTTGCCTTTCATAGGACCACTGTTTGACCTATTAAAAACAGAAACGTATGAACATCTCCTTGGTTTCCACCCTCAGTCCCACCCACCAATGCCACCCCTCACTGCCATCAACGTAACAACGATTCGAGGAACTCTTTTCTCGGCTGGCCGTACGATCAGGGCGGCAGGCATTGGTCAATCTAATTTCACACCTCTGGCTTCTGATTACCCAAGAAAGTTTCCGTAGTGGCTCGCTACTCAAGCACTCTCATGGGCAGTCGTGAGATATCACACCCACACTACACTGACCATCTGTATCGCTCAGGGCTCACATGATGGGGTAACTTCTACCCCCATTTCACCCCTACTCCCCTTCCTTGCCCAGCGGCATGGCCATGGCGTTAAGTTTAGAGCCGGTGGAGCCAAACTTGCGAGTTTTGTTTCAAATCAGGGCTGAGCAGGCAAAGTATTTTCCGTCTTAGACAGGTGAAACCCTCAGAAGGGAGCGGATTTTTCTTTCCGTTTCCGCGTTGGACAGGTTTCCGTTTTATACAGGTAATTAAAGAGGAATATATCAAGGGGGGAGCGGGGAGATTCCGTTAAGACAGGTTTCCGTTTTACACAGGTTTCCGTTAAGGCAGGTTCGACTATATCGAGATTCTTAACCTCAAAACATGAAGGAAAAAAAATTACACTAAATTAGATTAAAAATCCCTTTCAAATTTGAAGTTTATTTCATGGTACAACTGCTGACAATGTGTTATCATCAGTTAAATGATGCCATACGTTGCACGTTATAAGATCCTGGGTATAGTCAGAATCAGCTGATTTTGTACAATTCATCTTTCATCAAAAGGTCACCCAGTGACGCGATTTATGCCGTATGTCTCAAAGGGGCTAAACTAATACATGCCAGAAAATTTTGGTTGCAGAGAATGCAAAGAAGCTATTTTTGTTCAGCATATATGGACAGACATTTGAGTTTGAGAAATTGCTTTTTCAAGTTTGAGCTTAGAGTGGTTTACCTCTAATTAAAAAAGCTACAACTGTTGGTTTCTTATATATGTATATATATATATGCATTATAATGTACAGAAGATATTTAAAAACCCCGCCAAATGATGAACAATCTAAAAAATATCCTTATTTTGAACTTACAGGAGCAGCCAAGTACCCTTCCGAAATAGGCTTGTTGCGGTCACCAGAGTACAACTCATAGGGGCCCTTGAGGCTGGTGACTTTGTTGAGCATCTCCTCAGTGCAAGTCTTGTGCTTATAGGTCCCTGGGCCAAGTTCTGAACCCTGTTGGAAAAATAAAAATTTCTTACATCCCCATTGACACGATTCATATCATTTTGGAGGCAGGCTGCTTCAACCCTGCTTGTCGTGGCCAACCCGATCTGAGTAGGGTGCAACATCCTCGCTGACAAGAGGATCTACCTCATAAAAAAACTTTCCCATTCTGGATAACAAAACATGTTCCAAGTTCAACGGTGAAGTGCCTAACAATTATCAAACAGACACTGATTGAACCCTGTTGAGTTCAAATGTACGTATTATCAGTGTCTTAAGTCTAGTGTCAAGTGCTTTGCGATCACACACAAAAGGCCTGGGTTCGAAGTCCATGTGGTGAGAATTTTTATAGTGTATCTCAGCTGAGATGTTGCATCCCTCTAAGCCCGAGGTTGGTCCTGACAGACAGGGTCAAAGTCCACCTCCAAAATGATCTAAATGATTTAGATTGAATCGAAAGGGCACAAAACACATTTAAAAGAAAGAAACAAAAAGCAAAAAATTAACTATTTAGTCGTAGGGACAAAAAACTGGTCATAAAGGCAGTGTAGATAGTTCATGATTACAATTACAATATACAAAATTTTAATGTAATCCTAAAACCATCAGAACAAAACATTATATTTGTCTGATACGATGATAATAAGTAGGCTATGTATAGTGCAATAAAAAATTTATGGCGCAACTTATTGTCAAATATTTCCTTTACTGTCGAACATAGACTCTCCAGCTTGTGCACAATGGCTTGGATCAATTTGTTTTTACAGATCAATATTTTTGTATACATTTGTCAGCCATATTCTAGAAAATTCCTTCATAAATACTAATAAAAAGTCCAAGTGGGTGGTTTCTACATATTTCAAAAGGTTTGCAGCTGGGGCAATATCGCTTTTAAAAGCAAATCCGTCATTTAAAAAAAAATCGTGATACTGTGCTTATTGAATGCATGTTTTGAGAGTCTTTAGTGCAAAAAATGTGTTCATTATATAAAATTGATTTCTTGTATCAAGTTTTGACACTAAAAAGTGGTGGGCTGTGATGTAGACCATATATAATGCGTATGCAAAATGTGTATGGGAAGTTGGAAGTGCTGTGAACAATAATCTATTTTCTATGTGACAGAGATTTATGCCTTTTTTAAACTCATTCGCTACGCCGAGCCGTGGGGGGGGCGGCGCGGGTCAAGTGCTGTCAGTATGCTAAGCCGCCCCCGGCGGCCCGAGAACCAATCTTCAATTTTAGCTTAGATTCTATTCCAATCCACATATCCATGTTAAAATAAAGGTCATAATATAATGTTGACTTCCGGGTCAAGCATTTCCACTGAAAATCGGAAATTTAGAATCAGTTTTGAAATGCGATTTCGTAGTTTATTCGACCTTGTTTTATCGCGATGCCAAAATTATAGCCCGGACACCAGTCTTAGTAATTTTACACAACAAAATCTATCCTTATTTTGCCCACTAAAGAAATGTAGGACTCTTTTTTATAATATTGATACGAATGGACTCATATTGCCAATGCACTGTTATTGAGAAATCAATATTTTTGAGTGCTAGATTTAGGTCTAGATCTAAATTGTCAAAATATGTTTTTTCTCCCTAAAATCACTGCTTTTGATGAAATTACACAAAAAGTGCCTCTCAAGACATGTATAGGTTATTCCAAATGCAATTCTGAATAATTCCATATTAGATACGAGTGGGTTTATTCTGTTTGTGATCATTTTTCAAGATTATACAATTTTTTATTTTTTTTTCAATATCGGATGTTGTGTTCAAAATGTACAAAAATTATGGAATGTAGGTAAATAACTGCAAACTTTTCAATATTTTCCAGTTCTATATATTCATTTTTGGTTATTTTGATGCATCACTTGACTAGGTGCAAATATATTTTTTGAGTTTCAGCAAAGATTATTAATTTTTTATTTTCAAATTTTATCCGCATCCAATCAAAATTGTGTTGCATAATCGCCTCTTACAGGAACCAAAGTTGAAAAATACATAAATAAACATTACAGATGTATTCTACAAACCATACTGAAAATATTGGTATATAATACGTTGATATTTATTTGAATTTGTGGCCACAAAGACCTTTTAAGTGCCCACTAGTCATCATCTCATTCGCCCTCCAGAAAAAAAATTCGTCCACAAGCCGAAAATAATACGTAGCGAATGAGTTAATTTATGAAGAACATTTTTTAAATCTAGCCTCAATTGTAGTAGAAACTTATTATTTTTATGATGATAGAGTAACTTTACCACTTGCGGTCACGAGAGAACATTCCCCCCCAGCTAACATTGCATCTGCATGAAAAGGTTCCCAACTCGATTTTCGAGGAGAAAAAAGATGCAGGACAGGCCCTGACCTGGCCGGGGATTTAAAGACTTCAATTATAGAGTGCAGCGGGTGTTTTCTGCAAAACTTCAGCGTACCACTTTGTGAAGGTATCACCATGACTGACTACCTGAAAAATCGAAAAACAGCCGCAGGAGACTACTACTCAGGTTTGCTGATAAAACTGCGGTCTGAATTGGTGAGATAAAGGCGTGGAAAACTCTGTAATGGGATCCTCCAACTGCATGACAATGTCCCCGCGCACAGGGCCCAACAAGCAGTCCAGACAGCAGAACAGTGTGGTTTTGAAATCCTGCCACACCCAGCTTATTTACCAGATCTAGCCCCTCAGACTTTTTTCTGTTTCCTAATCTTAAAAAACCACTCAAAGGACGTTGTTTCCATGACAATGAGGACACCATTGGAGCTGTCGAAGACTGGTTAGTTTCTGGGTCATTTTTCTCTCAAGGACTTTTGAAGAGAGGTGGCAGAAATGTGTTAGTCTGCATGGTGACTATGTAGAAAAATAAAGGAATGTGTGCCATGTTACAAAACTCTATCTTTATTCCTTCATATTTAGACCAAAGACTTCTTGAACCCCCTTCGTAAACATGTAAGTAAAATATTTTTGTGTGGTAGATGTATCTAGATCTAATCTTCTCTTCGAGACAAAATCTGGATCTGCCGCTTTCAAATGGGGGTGAAATGGCGGTAAACATAAAGGGAAGGTACCTCAATAACAATTACAAGATTTTAGCAACACCTTCCCATATAATTGGTATTAAAACAACCTCTGTCATAGTCCCGTAAATTCTACAGGCCTGCACTACTTGGTTCAGGCCTGTTAATTCTATGGGCGCAGAAGAGAAGAGGTTAGTCCAAGGGGTTAACAGCCCTATCCAAACCCCTAATAAAAGAGAAGGAAACAAATGACATTGATTTCACTTTCAACTTAAGTTTGTCATGCATTTGGTCATTGTAAACATAAATAGGTCATAGACCTTCGATGAAGTAATTAGAAGGCATTGTAATTAATTTTGCTTTACTGTTTAACTCTGTGAACTACTCAGATGTATTCCTTTACTCAGCTGCAAAGTAATTAAATATATTATTTGAGTGGAAATTGAACTCAGGTCTCAAATGTTATATCTTGAACATTTACAATCAAGAAAAATGTTGATATAATATATAAAGGAGAAATCTACACGTAAAAAATGTAGATTCAAAACATAGTATAAAATATACAATAACTTGTTGCAAACATGGTCTGAGAAGAGGGGAGACTTAAGAGGCCAAATGCAAGTCAAAATAACTGGTTATGAGAAAACAGAAAGCTCTTTATAATGCTATGAGTCATTTTGACCCGGATGCGGGATATCATGAACTGGCTCATCTTCTCTTATGACAGGGGGAAAGCCTCAGAGCAGCTTGCTGCTCAGATTTGCTTTTATTGTCAAGTTCTCCTTTGCCCAAGGACTCTCAGCTACCATATGGACAATGGGAAGTTACATGATTCAAATGTATAATTAAATTGAGACAGAGCAAATGATGTCAGCACAACGTACCACTGAAGGTAAATTACGTTTGCGGTCACCAGCATCAAGCATTCCTTTAGTACTGGCTGCAATCTTGTCCTTCTGTTCCAGTGCTCTCTGTGGTACTCCACCAATGCCATAGGTTCCTGGGCCTGGTGTTGCACTCTTGGAAGGAAAAGTAAAACATCACAGTCTTTACATTATCAAGAAGTTCAAAAAGAGACATATATATATATATATATATCCTGGTAGAGGTTATACATTTTTTAGTTTGTTTGCCAAGAGTTTTATAGTGCTTGCAACTAACTGCATAAGGTTAGCTGATCATGTAACAAACATGTTGGTTGTTTTCACATTAGTTCTTATAAGTACGTTTTGGCTTTACTTTGCAAGTTGGAATGGTTGAAATACCTTATTATACATAGTAAAAATTCAATTTTACTGTTTGCAGTTTGGAAAAAAGACCAACGGTTTTTATACAATCAAGAATTCTGTTCGGATCAATGATAGAGAACAAATTCTTTTACCTTCACCCTACTTTATGTTCCAAAAAGGAAACAAGGGTCCTTTACAAAATTTGATTCTTGTCAACCAGCAATTGAATGTTCACAAAATGCCAAGAATGCTTCAAGCATCCATTTTAACAATCTCTAGGCATGAGTCTATGAATGGGATTTTCATAATTTTTGCAGGAAAAGCATTTTCAAATACCTACCCCTTCCTGCTCTTCATGTTTCCTTTATGGGTCATACTTTTTGTGTTGGAAAATACTGCTTGTTCTCTTTTTTGGGTCATACTTAATACATATGGGAATGATAAATTAATGACATATTTCACCATCACATTAGAATGGGAATGATAAAATAATGACATATTTCACCATCACATTAGAAGGGGAATGATAAAATACTGACATATTTCACCATCACATTAGAATGGGAATGATAAAATAATGACATATTTCACAATCACATTAGAATGGGAATGATAAAATAATGACATATTTCACCATCACATTAGAAGGGGAATGATAAAATAATGACATATTTCACCATCACATTAGAAGGGGAATGATAAAATACTGACATATTTCACCATCACATTAGAATGGGAATGATAAAATAATGACATATTTCACCATCACATTAGATAAAATTATTTTATATACTTGTTTCTCTTTTTATTCCACGAACCTACAGCACTAACGTTTGTATTCAATACCAGATCTAAATATTCCATACCTTATCAAGAAACCAAGTATTAGAAACTGCTCTCAAAATTCAAAATCCCGTTTCAACTTTTAATAGTTTTATAATGGCACTTACAACTCTGCATAAGATCATGTGAGCGCGCGGCACTCAAGTTGGGTGTTTTCACATTGAATTTCACAGCACATCTTGGTTTAACTTTGCAAAGTCAGAATTGTTGAAGCAAAAAAATTTCAGAGTGAGAATTCAGTTTTGAAAAGAGTATCTTACATTTTAATTTAAAATCTACATAATACTATCCATATGTTTGAGTAAAGACCAATTGGCTATAAAATCGAGAATTTTGTTGGAATAGAAGATATAGAACAAAATTTTCAAATTAGTGCATTCAATTCAAAATATTTCCTACACGTCTCTCCAAAGTCTGAATACTCTGTTAGGATGTGCCAGATCATGAGGCTGGCGGACGCCCTTGACGTTTTTGTATTTTGACCACTCATGCTCAAGTCTACATGAAAAGTCTGAGGCCGCCCGAGAACTGACAATTGTTGGGTAAAAAATAAAAAACTAGATGTCTACTGAGTCCTTGACACATATATCATAGCTAAGCTTCTGATCCGGTAGAAATTTTCAATTGGAATTTATGTATGCCTAAAGTTCAGCTGGTGTTGTACATATTGTAATTGGGTGCTACTCATTTCTGCTCCTGCCTATGGCAATCATGCAAGACAGATCTAGATGAGTTAAGACTGGCCACAGTTATCTCTAGCCTTTATCAATGTACAACTAGTAAAAAGGCCAATCGGTGTTATCCTGTTATATCGCTAACCTCATGCTTGTTCATAGAGGAGGAATAATGTGGTTTGACAGTATTATTAGTTATCTCTCCCTTCTACACAGAGGACCAAAGAACAATATAATTCGTAACTGCTCAGGAAAAGGGAAAACTAATCAACAGGGAACATCAAATATTTTTACTACATTTCATTTAAATACACAAAAAAACAAAACAAAAAAACCCCAACACATTGAACAAAAAATCTGTTGAGAGTCTGAAAAACATACCAAAACACCTCTCTCAAATCTGGGGGCCAGATTGCTGCAGATACCTCTCTCACTGCGTGGTTTTTCATTACCAGCTTGAATAAAGTCTTTGATCTCGTAAGATCCAGGGCCCAGTTTCCTTTTCTGTGAAGTAAGAAAAAGTAACACAAATGCCAGCACAAACTAATGGTTCCAATGCCCGACTTAAAAAAAACATTTGATGGAATGTTTAATATTATGTAAACATAGCATAAAATATTATTATCGAATTGTTGCTGTGTTAATTTTTTAAATAATGCCCTACTTCTCAGAGTGAATAAACTGAGATTGAAATACATTTACAAATACACAACAGGGACATACATGTTGTGAAAAGGACAGAAATGCTATAAAAAAGTGAACAACAAACCAGCATTTTGTTTTCCTCCCACTGCTCTTTGTGAAGGAGATGAGGAAGAGCAGCCAGCCTTTCTACCTCGATCTGACGAGCCCAACCTGGTCCAGAGGCCTTTAACTCAACATTTGAAGAACTAAATCCACCAATCATTGTATTATAGGTGCCTGGTCCAAGTTTTCGTTTCTGTGAAGAATCATCATTTAAAAAATTTCAGTATCTTGGAAAAACATTTTAAAGTCAAACGATTGTTGAAGGGTAAGTGTGTCACTGTTTTATGAAAAGAAACAACTGAAACCTAAGTGCTTCAGTCAAATTATTTTGCTTTTTAAATTCTCTTTGAGATTGATACAATAGTAATAGATCTAAGTGTTTGATTCTATGGTATTGATATCACGACTGCCATCCTGTCATTATGACTATTTCAGACTTCAACAATCAGGAAATCTCAGGAAAGTTTGAAGAGAGTGAGGAAAGGGTAAAACTTCCTTTACTTTAATGTCAACTTTGTTTATCAAATCTTCACTGACCAAAGAGGGACGCCCACTCCTGGGTTCATTATGCACATTATCTCGTCCCTCTTTGAACATGAACCCATTTCCGCACCACGCTTTTGCCCATGCCATTGCATTTTCAACATACACTTCAGAAATCTGCCTACGAATGTCGATAGGCTTCGTGTTCTTTGCAGTCAGAAAATGAATAACAGGCCGAATTTCACTGTCAGCATAATTTTCAAGCTTAGAAGACATGTTGAAGCTTCAAATGGGTGTAGGATGTTTGATACAAAATGGGGCTGTGTAAACTGGCGAGCAAAAAACTGGGTGAAATGTTTTACAAGCGTTGTAGAGTTGTAGATTGTTGTTTACAACGGCAAGACGGAAGCTGAGGGCTCTTTCTGGTTCAGTATTGAACACATCAACTCATATGTGGTGCAAAATCGGGAATATCCCAACCCAGTTTAGAGAGATGTGAAAACGGTGCTTACTCTCTGGACGTCCCTCATACAAAATAAAATAGAGAGTATCTTCAGAATCACAATATGGCAGCCTGAAGGCAAAGGGTCCTATTAAGTAGGAAAATCAGTTACATAATAAAAGTCAGTTGCTCTGCAGGTTTAAGACCAGCAGGTGACTACCCCTGAGATCTGGAAGAATTTTCCAGAGTTGATTAATTATATTTTGAATGAAAAAACCTTTGAACATGTAGCTTCCAAAAACGGAATAAACTGCAAAACAATTAAAGTGAAATGAAAGCAAGGATACACTGAAAAATATACAAATGGCTTTGATAGCAACAAAGCAAGCAAATGTTTTTACAAAAAAACCAACAAAGTTTCAATATATTATAATCAGAGTACAAGTTCACTGAAGAACTGAAAACTGTGTGTATTGTTACAAAACTGTAACTGTATGTTTTGCTAAAAGATCAATCGAACATCAAGAAACAGAAAATTTTAACGCTACTCATACCAAAATTACAAGGCAAATATAACAAACAAGAAATGTGCGTGTTAAGAAACACAATTATTACCAAAAATTCATCGCATGTCTCACTGGGCTCCTTTTTTTGGGTCTTACATTCGGCTAAGCCTTGAAATAATCTACCTCTATCCTCATCAGTCGACATTTCAACTTTAGTCTTATCTTGACTTTCTGCACCTTCACCTTTTGATGTGAAGAGTTCCTTTTCACTGTCTAAAGCCTTTCTGAGAGGTTTTGAAGTTCCGGTGGTAGATCCTTCTGCGGAACCCACATTTGAAGGACAGGCTTCTATATCAGAGTCAAGGAAAAGACTTTCACCGTCATCATTAGTGAGGGTGTTTGAAATCGAGGCTTCAGATTGGAGCTCCTTGGTTTCACTTTTCTTCCTGTCTGACTTTTTCTCAACAGGTTTCGTTTCCAATCCCTTGTCTTTTCTTGTAGAGCTTGATGACTCTGTCCCTGTTTCCAAACTTATACTCTTTAAATTGTCTTCGTCCTCTTTATTCAAAACAACCTCTTTTATTTCGGCTTCACTGTTCATTTCAGACGCTCCAATACTTTCTTCAAATGATACCTTCTTTTCCATCGAGCCTCTTGGCTTTGCGTCACTTGATGAGAGCACACTTTTTAGCTCGTTTTTTGCTTCTTCAGACTGCTGGGAAATTGCCAAATTTTCATTTTCGAGTTCAGCATCATTCTCTTTTCTGTTTCCACCAGATTTATTAAGATTGCTCAGACTGTGATCAAAATCAGAACTGTTATTGTTCACACCACCATTTTTTTTTTTAGCAGGACTGGTAAGATCAGATTTTTCGGAAATTTCTTCATCTTTCAGTTTCAGAGTACAGCTACATGTGGAATCATGTGTTAAATTTTGCTCATATGAAACAAAGATTTTGTTTTTTGATCGTTTGTTACCTAAAGAAGAAGGCACCTTTTCTTTTATACATAGCTCTGATGAACAAGCAAGGAAACTAGAATCAAAACCGGTGACAGTTTGGTCCTGTCCTAACAGGGCATTCATCAGTAATGCTCTTCTGCTCATCAGAATCTTGTTCTTTGTCCACTCAGCAAAACACTTAGAATCATAGTGTTCCAAGGCTCTGAGGGAATTGAATTTTGAGCTTTCCTTTGAAGAACCATGTGAGGAAACAACCGCCGATTTTTTTGACAGACCGGAACACACCCTACTTGAGGATAGTTGTGTGGGAGATGATAAATTCAAAGAAGATCCTGACTTTGAATACTTAGAGTTTCGAAAGGATTGCTTTGAATGACTTGTTTCAAAATCTTGAAGGGTTTGACTGGCCTGGATCAATGACTTGCGGATATTTCTGATATGTTTGTCAAACTTTGCAATGATAGCACCATGGTCTTTAGAAAGATTTCGGGTTTTAAAGTTATAATGAGCAGCCTTCCTTTCCTCCTAGAAAAGAGAAAAAGAATATGAACTCTTCCTTAGTTTCATACCTCTAATAAAAGCACATAGTATTCCAATCATTTTAATATAAAAGCATACGTCATAAAACACACACACACAAAAAAAATGCCACCTTCCATTCAAATCCTTCCCAAGTGTATGATAGAAGACTTTTTACTCTTGACGCAGTAAGACAAGACAAAAGTTTGTGGATAAAAACAATCACAATAAAGTATAACGCAGAAGTTGTGTATGGAAGCTTTGATTTTTTATTCAGGTGGAGTACATATATATTTAGATCGATCGATCGATCGATCGATCGATCTATCGATCTATCTATCTATCTATCTATCTATCTATCTATCTATCTATCTATCTATCGATTGATCGATCGATCGATCGCGATCGATCTCTCTCTCTCTCTCTCCCTCTCTATCTATCTATCTATCTATCTATCTATCTATCTATCTATCTATCTATCTATATGCATGTGTCGGTGTGTGTGTATGTGTGAGTGTCAGGACGCGGTGGAATCAGGCAATCATCAATTTTTGGGCATATGGAATTTTTCGTATGGTTTTAAAGCCTGTCTCTTGGCCTTGCTTGTGATGAAAACAATATCCATTTATCTCCGATACAAGGCAATTGAAGGATGTGGGGGTAGCCAGGTTTCAGAGGTAAAATAAGTGAGAAAATGGCCGCCAAAATTGAGTTATTTCCTTAGTTTGAGAGTCCATTGAAACTGAAAATTTACATCTTTTACGCATTTAAGCAAAGTTCTTCAGCAAAATCTGCACCGAAATGTGTTCTTTTATGGGCAGGAAAGGTGTTGAGCCAAAACACAAAAATTCTATTAAAATTCCTAAACCTGTGGAAAAATGCCAGTTTCTTGACTTTCATTATTTTGATATATATTTATCCACGTATATATATATATATATATATATATATATATATATATATATATATATATATATATATATATATATATATATATATATATATATATAAAACATTTTTCTCCCACCCTCCTGTTCTTTTTACCTGAACAAGTATTTATTTACTATTTGTGTCATGACGTGGTGTAATCAGGTGCTCGTCAATTTTTGGGCATATGGGGTTATTAGTATCATCTTAAAGTTAAAGTCTGTTCATTTGCCTTCCTTTTTGGAGGAAAAAAAAATGGATCTATATTGAATAGAAGGCGAGATATTTGCAATTGAAGGAGGTCACAGTCGCCTGGTTTCAGAGGTAAAATTATTGAGAAAATGGCTGCCAAAGTTTGGAAACCTCCATAGCCTAAGAGTCTTTGGAAATTGAAAATTTACATTTTTTGTGCCTTTCATCAATGTTTTTCAGTAAAATCCACACAGAAATGTGTTTCTAAAAGGACATAAAAAATGTTGAGCCCCCCAAAGAAATTAGAAAAGAATTGCCTATTGGCCAAAAAGATGCCGATTTCTTTTTAATTTCATTATTTTGACGAGCGCCTGATTTCACCATTGCCTCACATTTGTCTCAGTTAGCCAAAATAAGTACATGAGATTGTGGATTCAGGAGCCAAAAACAAATCTCTTACCAGTTCCAACATGGAGTATTTATCATACGGCATTTGAGTAAAACTCCCTGGCACTTTTGTCTTTGGATGAACTCCAGTAACATCAAATCTGTAAGGAAAATTATGATATAATGTTTACTTTCCTTGAATAACAATAAACTGATCCTACATCCTATAAATATCTTCTGTTCCTTAAGCCCCTTCTGACTCAAATCAGTTGATACAATAAAGAATAGATTAAGAAAATGATACTATACATTCGGCTCGAAAAGGTAAGATTTCGATCTCAATTTACATGCACTTGAACCAATCCAAGATGGCCATCTATTGTTGAGTAGAAATGTGGTTATCTTGCACAGGTGATCCTCTTGAACAGCGCCATTAGAAAAAACACAAGGGAGAAGTAGGAGGCAGTCATTTGTGCAGGTGACTGTCATAGACAGGTGATCGATAGAGCAGGTTCAAGGGTATATTCAGTTAAACCTCACTATTTTGACCCCCCATTATACCGCCAGGTTTGAAAAAAGGAGCGTCTATACTATACCATAAACATAATATTTGCACCTTTAACTGCCATCCGTCTACTGTCTGATAGGTGCTGTCTAATGTAAATTTGCCCCCCTACACTGCCACCAAATAGATCATCAGAGGTACATACAACACACAGCGCATGGCAGCCCTGCCATGCCAAGGGCAGAGGGACATTTCTGCACTTTCTATGATTTTGAGCTACGTTGTGCTGCCATTGGAAATATGGGCATGGCCCTTCAGTTACATCTGTTTGCCATAGTGAAATATCCTATTTGCAGAGCAGATACGTCTTCCTGCCTTTGACACCAGATGCAGAATGGGTATGGGCATCCATTTAAAACGAAGATACAAAAAATGATGATTTTTGCAGAGATACGTTGGTCTGCCTTGGCACTGCGGAACCACTCTGTGGTTTCTTGATCTTTCCCATACACCTCTCTCTGAGTTCAGCCTATTTCTAGCGTTTGCTGCTGATTTGCTCCTGATAGGTGGAAATTATGGAAATGCTATTATTTTTAGGCTTTGGCTAAAAGTTTGTGCATGTATACAGTTAGAAATAAAATCACCCGAAGAAACTTCAGAGGAACTGCGCCACTTCGGCCTGTCAGCCTGATGACTAAAAAGCTAGTGAGCTGCCCCAGTAAGGATATTATATTGTGAGGACTCATGCTCAAATCTACATGAAAGGTCTGAGGTAGCCTGAGGACTGACTGTATCGGATTAAAAAACAACAACTGTAAGTCTAATAATAATAAAAGAAAGATAGCATTTGTATAGCACAAATCTCAGCTCAACAGCAAGCTCTAAGCGCTTCACAATCTATATTATTACCCCAGCAGACCTGAAAGCATTCTGAAACTACCTCAACTTCCAGGGAAGCATACAGAGCAAACAGCCATTTATAGGCGCTAAAACACTAACATACTAACAAGATATTTCACTGTCTATGGCCGGGTACCCATTCCCACCAGGGTGAAGTGAGGACAATTCGTGTAAAGTGCCTTTCCTAAGGACACAACCTCTACCTGCGGCAGGAACAACCTCATGATTACGAGTCCGGTAGCATAACCACTAGGCCATTGACACCACTTACAGGGCCCTCGATACATAGCTTCTGATCTGATAAAAAATTTAACATTTTCAATCTGAATTTAAGTAAAGTTCAGCTTGAGTTGCACATGTAAGTGGTTGCTACTTGTTTTTCCCCAGCACATGGCCATCATGCAAGAAAGACCTAGATGAGGTATGACTGGCCACAGTTTGTCTCAAGTCTCTACCTGTCTACCACTAGTCAAGATGGCAATCGGTGCTATCCTGTTGTACCGCCAGCCCCATTATGCTACCAACTTCATGCTCATTCAAAGTTTTCCCCGACATTTGTTCGATGTCTCTTGCTGAGTTAGGAGTTTTCAGACATCTTTGGGTACCTCAGATTGATATAATGATACTCTTACAGTAAAATGGGACGATGCATGGAGCTGATATCACAAGTGGTGAAGCCCAAGTGGCTACAATAATGGTGAAACCTTTTTCTTTGGCTTCAATTATTCTTGAAACAAGCTGTTGAGTCCAACGTAAAAAAAATGCGTGAAGCCTCCCCGATATATATATATATAGAGAGAGACTTTGAACAAATGTCCGGGAAAACTTTGAATGAAGAGGGGTGACTTTGGAATATTTTTACATGTTAAATACAGTGGAATCCTGTTATAACGAGAGGGAGGGGACTGGTGCAAAATATCCATTATAGCAGGATTCTTGTTATAAGGGATCCAGTAATAAATTCAAAGTAAATAAAGTAGGCCAAATCTATGAGTTTGGTGTTGGGTTTATTTCTTTTCGTTATCCCCCCTAAGGATGATTTTGTTCAACATGACCTCTAGTCTTACTTGATCAAAAATCAAATCAGGTCTCTTTCTCTAGTGCTAGTGATGTTGACAGCTCGGCGTTAGCGATCAGAAAGAAAGGGCTCTAGGCTAACTCACCTGCTGTGTTGCCCCCCCCCTCCCCCAACCACCATCACACCCTGTGGTGCATTCCGTCTGCTTGCACACATGGGTACACACAACACCCTGACAATGTCACACATTCGCTCCATCCATCGCAACACTGTGCCCTCTCCATCCCCGCATTGGAGAAGTGAGAGGCACGGTAGGCCTAGATAATCTAGACTAGGTTGGCCTATCACGCGATGCGTTTTGCTTGTCTGCACATGCCATACCCTCCCGACATATTCGCTCCGGCCTTCATTGTTGGCACATGTGAGCTCTCCCATTCTTTGTTTCGCTAGATCACCAACATGTATTTCAACTGGCGAGGCTTTACATATATGTATAATTGGCCTATGCGCTGTGCACAGAAGCAACAATATTCCGCTATGACCGACTCGCATATTTGTCTGATTGCGCTATAGCAGTATTTTATTTACAAAGATAAAGAGGGAGAAAAACGGGGTTTTAGAAAAGTGTCTTTATAACAGACTTCTCGTTATTTCAGGACTCGTTATAAGTGGACTCCACAGTATTATTTTTGAGAGGCAAAAATTCGACAGAGCATACATCTATAGTACTTTTACCTTTGTTTGAGGTGCGAAAGTGCATTTCACACTCACCAGAAATCTTATAAAACAGTGATCCAAACCAATTAACCAGATCGCTTTTATGCACTTGTGTATGTTATGTGTTTACATGAAATATCCCCTTATCATTGTAAAACAGAAGTCAATAGTGTCCTTAATCCTCCCTGTACTTTGATCTTTCACATGCACTTTGTGTTCCCTTTTTGGATCCTACTTTTAAGGAAATATTTCCTGTTTTCTTTTTGGGTCATACTTTTATAAATAGAAAATTATTTAGCATTTATCATAATAACTAACTGATTGCAGTAACACATTTTAGGCCTTGAATGTCACCTCAACAAGTTCAATTCAATCCCCAAAAAACATATTTGACAAAAGATTTTCATTTCTATTGAACATCTAAATTTGAAAATGTGAGAATCGGAACATAATTATGCATGCAATTTGAAATAAAGTAATGAAACGTCCTTCAAAACTCAATCAGATTCAGCTGTAGGATCCAAAAATTCTCTACTACCAAGATGTTTCCATTGCCCTATCTTGCGTCCGCGTGAGACGTGGGCGCGACCCTGCTGTGTTAGCGTGTGATGGCCAGAGATATGATTGTAAACAAACGTTCAAGTGCTCCACTTTGATTTAATACTCTTTCATTTGGAATCAAGATTTGGTCTCCATGAGATTTCTTTGAAGTATCCTTTTTGGAAGCAATTTTATTTTTACTTTCCCTAATTGTACATTTCGTCCAGCATGACTACAGGGATCCATATGTGTGTGTGCCTGAAGAAAGGTACCAAAAGTTGGATTTTGACCGTTTTAGGTTAAGGGTTGTACCTTATAGGAAATTCAATGCTGAACACAGGGGTCTTAGAATTTTTTAGATATCTCCAGTAATTTTTGAAATATTGAACATTTTGCGAGGTAGGGTATGAAAGTATAATTTTGAGAAAATGAGCTTCTTTAACAAACGTGATAACACATACAAACTTAAATTTTTATTATACCCTACCCTCAAAACAATTCAAAATGAAATATTTTGAAGTCAAATCAATGGAAACCCTTTGAGATCCCTTTGAGCACATTGTAAAAAAATGGTGGACATTTTTTAATGGAAACACATTTTGATCAAAAAAGTGATTTTTGTCATTACCAGCCTGTAGCTCAAAACAGTCTGTGGTGACTTTTGGTACCTTTCTCCGGGCGCACAGACATATTATGATGTCAATTTGGTCAGATCACTGCAGTCAAAATCAAACTTTCATGTAAGAAATGTAACAATCTGACAAGACTATTGAAAACGCTCTCTCTCGAGAGAGAAAGGTAATGTAACTCTCTTTACACAGCACCAGTCGTCATATTTCAAGGACCCAGATGATGGGGAAACATAGTTGTTTGAATCACTAAAAAGAGACAAAAGCAGTTTGAATCTGCCAGACATTGTCATAAACGATCGTAACATCAAGTCATAAAGAAATTGTAAAGCAATACTGTGTTTCGCCACAAAACGTTCACTTCCTAAGTTGGACAAAGAAATTTACTTTTATAGCACAAGTCATTATTTGTCTAGTAATTCTGTGATTATGTCGACCAGTGACAATGTGCTAGACTCTACAACACTATACCATCATTACTGGACAGTAAATTACATGAAATTGACTGGTGAACATCTTGGTAATGTTCCTAGCTTTCGTCTGTTCATTTTCAGTTTTATTTTCTTCCCTCTCACCCCCCCCCCCCAACCCTTTTCCCTTTTTCCCCCTTTTGTTCTTTTTTGTGTGTGTTAATTTGTGTTATCTCCAAACAATCTCAGCAATTCCCATTTCATAAATTTAGCCTGTACCATTCTGTACCTCCTCCTTTCCTCCCCAAACAAAGTTGTACAATCACAAATACACACACAGAAACGCACACGCACAGACCAAGCAGTTGGCGATGAAACAAATCTCGCATCGGCAAGTGACGTAAACCATCACGCATGGCGCAGACAAAAGCTCAAAGAGGAA